ATAGGTTTTAAGTTTATAGATTGAAGGGTCGTTCTTGACATAGTCAGGCAAGGAGTTCCAGATACTGATGACAGATGGCAAAAAAGATTTATTATAGAGACTCGTATGACTAACTAGTGGACGAAAATTATTTCCCGTGCGAGTATCATGGTTGTGGTAATTACGGTTACGCTGAGGTAGAATATCTAGAAGATATTGAGGAGCCAGACCATGAACCATTTTGTGGAAAAGAATAAGCTTGTGCTGTTTACGTCTTTCCTCGAGGGGAAGCCAACCTGTTTCAGTATACAGTTTAATTCTACTTGTGAGTCTAGTGCCGCCAGTGACTATGCGTGCTGCTTCTAATTGAAGATTTTCTAATAATTCAGATTGAGCTTTAGTAAGGCAGTTGTGGCCCAATATGGCCCATATGTCGAAGAAAGTCATTTTATCCCATATAATTGTTTTAGATACACTGGGGATATATGATCTCTCAAAAAAACCTCAAAACTTTCCTTGAGGGAGACCTCCCTTCTAGTTGAGGCCATAGCTCCCTCACATATCCTCACCACCTAGTCACTTTCCTCATTGGCTGTTGCATTTTGATATTTTGATGCAACAGTCCATGGGGCCCCCTCTATGGATGTCGAGCCTCGTATTGGATGTCCTGGAATCAGAACTATATATACTATATTTTAGGTTACAATCAATATTAAAATCCAAATATGTAATTTGTTAAAGTTGAAATTTGCCACCTATTTGAAGACATATCTAAATGAGGACAGTTATGAAGGAGGGGGGACTTCTAAACATTTCTGTGAGATGTATTTGCTGAGGAGAGCCCCCACCCTGGTCTTAACTGCCCAAGACCACTGGCATAACTGTGTGTCTATTAAATACTTTTATGAATACACATACACGCAACACGCCAGTGTAGTCCCATGAACATACTCTTGTGTAACTTACAGAGCAGTATTAAACCACTACAGACTTGAAAATCTGTATATAATATGATAACACAGCATGTAACTGTCTATGGAACTTTACCTGGCAAGTCTAGTACATTTCAAATGATGTAAAATTAGCAAGCAATGGTTTAGCTTAATTGACCCACAACTTGGAAAATTCTGGGGTTTGTGATAAACTGTTGCCTCATCAGCACATTTCACGATAGCACACAAAACACTTGACTGGCTAATTGTAGAATGGATCCCATGCTATACCCCTAGTTTACATACGGAAGAAAACACTAGTTTGAATGTCAGAACAAAATATTAACTCTTAATAACTTTCACAAGCCTACTCTAATTTTTGCGTTAAAACTGATCACTGATGTTTGATGTGATTCATGTATTACAAGATTTATTTACAGTGTGATTGTTATTTTATGCCGCAATGTTAGTTAGTTCCCCGCCGGTCCCGGAGGGGGGATATAGGAATTGATTTAAGTTTCATGCTGTTACCATTAACATAATCATACGAAGAAGTGTATACTGACATATGACCCATGGCAAAACCCTAGTTGACCTAAAGACATTTGTGACACATGTGCACTGCTGCTGGTCTGTAGGAAATATATGTTTCACCCTCTACCAATAGGCACTAAGTGGATATTGCTAGTCATATAATTATGCATTCGGAAGTCTACTGTTTGTTAATGGCAGAAGTAGAGCCAAAAGCTTCTTGAAGCAGTACTTGTGGTTGGTCCTCGGAGGGAAAAATAAATTTTAGACTATTGCCAACACAGACATAAGATAAGAGTGAATATCCGCTCACATCAGTTTCAGCAAATTGAAAGGTGTTTATACTGCATCTCAGCTGACTGTACTGCGTTCGTTTTTCCTAGATATTGCAACATCAAGAAAGCATGTGTCTGGAGTACTTTCAGTATTTTGATTTTTTAATTGTGAAATAATTTTAAATGAACAATCAGATTGAAATGACCATTCATGTTGACCTTACATGGAAAACTCAAATTGGGAAATTGCGCTCAAATGATTTTAAGTTATGTCAACTTCTTCATTGAGTATCGTTTACACACTTCAGAAAACCATGAATGTTCCACTTGAATCTTGAGTGACTACTTTCTCTGTAAACAGGAGATAAGCATGTGCTTCTTATATTAATGATATTGTCTTGTTATCAACGTTACAGGAAAGGAAAACTCTGCAGCCATCCTCGATATCCAGGGGTTAAGCTCACTTTCGCTCTCTACACCCCTGGATTGGTGTCAGGTAAAACAAACCTGACAAATCACTAGTCTTGTACTTGTCCTTTGAAGATTACAAAAGAGCGACGCCCGACTTCAAAGCTTGTCATTTTTTTACCATTATGCGACCGCACGATTCTTTTGATGTGCATTAAAGGACCAAACGAGTCTTCTCGTCTCATTCACAAGGTGTTGCACACTGAGCCTTCAATTTTGCTATGACATATATATATTCCAGGGGTAAAGTGAGCGTAACCCCTGGATATCGAGGATGGGTTGCTGGCGATTGACCCAGTCTAGCTCTGCTATATCAATAACATGTATTATGGTAATTAACCAGAGGTTAACACAACA